ATTGTTCATTAAATTACAATTTTTTTTAAAAAAATATTACATTAAATATATATCTTCTTATTAAAAATTACATTAAATATATAATGTGTTTTTTATTATTTTCATGATTTTTAAACTAACACTCCAAAAATTATATATAAATGGAATCTGATTTTTTTTTACCAAATTTGGGTGCAATGGAGCTTCTCAATAATCAATAAGGTTGTGAATACTTGTCCTCCAAAATCAGCAACAATTTAGATCTAATTTGTGTATAATTCAGGGTCATTTGGTTATGTAAAACAATTTTGAGCTTTGATATAAATAATTATTCAATGTATTCCCTCTTTTTCTGAAAAATGTGTTTGTGTCTTTTTTTTAAAAAAAAAAAAAAATCTCACTTAAAAATATTCTTATTTTCTCATTTAATAAAAATAAAAATAAAAAGTAACAAAAAATACTCACTTTTATTATAATATGTACCCAAAAATATAAGTGCATTTTTTGGAGTAATATTTTAAAAATATACATAACACATCCAATGGGCTGTTTACTTAACAAATCTAAAGTCTTATTGTTTTTTGGATGGGCCTGACTCTATTAAAATTGTTAGCTTACTTAGTGGATTCTGCTAAATAAAATTGGCCCATTATAACTTGGGGCTCACTGGCCTACGGTTACTGTAGCTCTAATGGGCTGCAATTGGGGATAATACAATTATTATTATTATTATTATTATTATTTAAGAAAAAAATAAAAACATTGTTGTTTACTTTCTATTTTTCTACAGCATAATTATTTATAAATATTATTAGTGCATATTAATACAATATATATAACATATACATTTTATTAATTTACAAAAAAATCAACAATGCAACAAAAAATATTACTTTCTTCGTCCGCATCTAAATATTACATTTACCTTTTGCGTGCTTAACATTAAAAATATTCTTATAGTTATATAATTTTTTTTTTTTGTATAAATATCATTCTATTAGTATTATAAGACACTAATTGAAGTATTTTTACAATTTTTTTAATTTGCATTACGTTTTGATATAATGATTAATATTTAAATATCAGCACGCAGCAAAATGTAAATGAGACTTTAGAACTAGACGACTATAGTATTTTTTATATTACAAGTATAATTTTTCATATACTTATTAGTATAAAAATTAAAGAAATCCAAAATTAAATTAAATTAAATTAAATTAAACAAACTTATGTATGTGTTTGATTTTGATTTCACCACTATTTAATCAGTACTATTTTCAATAAATAAATACATAATTTGTCTGCAAAATTTTTAGCCAATTTCTTTTTTTTGCAAATTTTAAGAAATGATTTAAAAATTAACTGATGTAATATCAAATTAAAATACTATTTAAACTTATAACTCAAGTAAATACTCAAAAACAAAAACTAAACAAACCCAAAAAATTCATGTTGATTACAAGAATGTAAGTGCCTCCTTTTTGTCTTACTTTTTTTCTTTAATTATAACTATATATATATATATATATATATATACACAAAAAGTAATACTTCCTTTATGTCAAGAAAAAAATATATGCTCTTATAACTTGGATATAAATTTTTTAGTGAATATTAGGCTGGTTTACTTTAGAAGTTTTGATTTTTAGTTTTGATTTTGAATATTAAAATTTTGAATTGAAATAATTGTTTGATGTGATATAAATATGTGCTGATGTAATATCTTGAATGTGAAATTAGATTTTAGTGTAATAAAATAAATTAAAATTAAGTGTTTGATATTTCCTCCGTCCTAATAATATGGGCCTACTACCGTAGATACAAGAATTTAGATAAAATATAATTAGTAGATAATTAAGAAGTGTATTAGTAAAATTAATTATTATATACTAAAAATATTTATAAATTAAATTTAAGATAACTAAATAGTTTAATTAACAATAAAAAAATTTAAAATTTAAATTTTAAAATATGATTAAAGTGTATAATCAATTTTCCAAAGAAAAAAATGACAAATCATATGGGACGGAGGGAGTATGATATTTTCGAATAAAAAATAAAGTTAAAATAGTAAAATCTTACAAATAAACATAGTTTTGTAAATAAATATATTTTTGTGAAAACAAACAAAGCCTAAGCATGTGAAGTTTGATTTTATTTATATTGATTTTTTCTTTGTATTACGTACAAAAAATAATAATAATAATAAATAATAGCAGTAGAATTCTTGATGGGTCTGGATATAAGCCAAACTGTCCAAAAGTCTGAAAAAAAGAAGTCGGACAGACGCAGAGGTCTGTCAAGAGGAAGGTTGGGCAAGGAAGAAGTATGGACAGACGCGGAGGTATGTCAAGAGGACAGTCTGTCCATCTAAGGAGATAAGGCAAATAGAGCCGGTCGATTGCTCTGTGATCGGGACCACAGTCGGTTGGTCTGTGGTCGGGACCACAGTTGGTTGGTCTGCAGTCGGGACCGAGGTCGGTTGGTCCGTGGTCGGGACCACAGTCGGTTGCTCTGTGGTCGGGACCACAGTTGGTTGGTCTGCAGTCGGGACCACAGTCGGTTGTTCTGTGGTCGGGACCACATTCGGAAAGTCTGCATGTCGGTTGGTCAGCAGGTCGGATAGTCAGGTCGGAAGGTCTGCATGTCGGTTGGTCAGCAGGTCGGATAGTCAGGTCGGAAGGTCTGCGGTCGGGTAGTCAGGTCAGTTGGTTAGCTGGTCGGATGATCCATAGGTAGGAAAGTCTGCAGGTCGGAAAGTCAGTAGGTCGGATCTGCAGGTCGGTTGGTCAGAAGTCGGACCAAGTAAAGTCAGCTGCTACGGAGGTCAGGCGAAGTAAGGTCTGGTAATTGATTGCCCACTTAAGTGAACAGTAGTTTGGTTGCTTGGTGGGGGCGGCCAAGGAGTCTTCTAGTCTAGCGACCAGTTAGTCGCTGGATTAGTCGGTTGGGTTATGCTGTTGACGAGACGGTTGTTGTAACTGACCAGGCGACGGTTCCAAGCGTTTCTTTTGGGCGGTTGACGGCGGTTGCTGTAACCAACCAGGCGATGGTTCCAACCGTTTTCTTCAAGGAATATTTAAGGATTTGGATTTTTCTGGAGAAGGCATCTTCAATCAACTTTAACAAAGCAAAGTCAGATTCGGGGATCACCACTTTAAATTTCCAGCATTTTAATTTCCAGTTAATTTTTTTTTATGTATCGTACAGTACAATGTTTAGAGATTCCTAATTTCAGACGCTAATTAATCAAGTTTAAAGATATTTTCCATATATTTGAATTTTACTTTTTGTTTGTTGAAAAAATACATCAACACTTTGAATATTAGTTTAATATTATGTTTTGTAATTTATCGAAATTATTTAATAAGAAAACTAAAAATATAAATAAAATTGTACAATAAGGGTGTGTTTTTTTGGGGATTATATTTTAAATACACTATTCATTCTATTTTTTCTTTCAAAAATATCAAATCAAACACCATTTTTTTATATTATACTAAAAATCAATTTTACATTCAAAGCATCACATCAACACCTATTTATATAAAGATCATGCAACAATTCAAATTCAAAATTTTTACTATTTAAATCTCAACTCAAAATTCAAACTCCAAAAACAATATATTAAAATATAAAATAATATCAGATATATAAGAGCCACCATTCTAATAATATACATTCTGACAGCCTCCTTTTCCTTTCTTTTTTTTTTTTTTTTTTTTTTTTCATACAGCTGCTCAAAAGTTTTGATATGAAGTAAAAGTTAAAATTAACATTTAATGCAATATAAAAATATTTAGTTTAATATTATCTTTTTTTTTTAAAAAAAAAAAAAAAGACAAAGAAAAAGAGAGAGAGAATAATAAGAGGCAAGCCAAACCAACGTCCAAATTGCCGCTGGTTTTGATCAAAATCCGTTTCTCTTTCAGCTGTCCTAATAAGTTAAATTGTCACCAGCAAAATTTCCATTTAGTGCTGAAATCTCCCAGAATATAATATAATATATATTAATAAATAAATAATAAAAGAATCTTTGATTTATAAAAATCCTATGATCTGTCTGTTTTTGTTTCATCGACATCACTTTTTATATTCTTTCTTTTAATTTTTTTACCCCTTAACATATCAGTGTAATAATCATGACAAAGCAAAGGAATCCCACACCAATGAGTGAGTATGCATCACAAAAGGGGCTTAATTTATTAGTTAATTAAATTTCCCCCTACTATAAATATCCTCAAAATCAGAATCAAAATGATTACAACATCAGCATTCAAATTTATTTATTATTATTATTATTATTTTTTATTGTAATCTTTTTTTTTTTTTTTTAAACTATCACATTTTTTTTTTAATTTTTTCTTTACTCTAAAACAAATATTTTTATTTTTATCTATTTTTTTTAGAATGCACGTCCAATAAAATGAGCATACATTTTAATGATTAAATATAGTATGTGTTGCTTGTAATAATGACATGTGCTGTTTGTCTAGAATCATACTTGTGTTGTATAAGTGTATGTCATGTGCTGAAATGAATGTTTCATAAGTTGTGTGAAACTATATTATGTGTTGTGTTTGTATTATATGAATATAAATAATGTGCTATCACTATAATTATTGTGTGTTGTTTGCTAGTTATCTATGTTTTGTGTTTGTATTATATTAATATAAATGATGTGCTGTCACTATAATTACTGTGTGTTGTTTGTTAGTTATCTACGTATTGTGTTTGTATTATATTAATATAAATGATGTGCTTTCACTAATATTATCTTATGATATTTGCTAGCTATTTATGTGTTGTTGAATACAATACTGAATTTGAAATTCAATATTGTAACCTCTTATTATTATTATTATTATTATTATTATTATTATTGTGTAAATAATTTGAAGTAAAGAATCCTTCTCTTGTCTTGTATTATTCTATTCTTGTGGCTACACTGCAAACACAGATTCCGCAATTGCTATTATTATTATTATTATTATTATTATTATGAAATGTGAAGGGTTAATATTTATATATAGTGATGGAGTTGACGAAATTAAATAGAAATGGCGTCAGGTTCAGTGAGAGTGAGTTCACGGAGGAGGGGCGGTTCGTGGACGGCCCAGGAGAACAAGCTGTTCGAGAAGGCCCTGGCCCGGTTCGACCAGGACACGCCAGACCGGTGGCAGAACGTCGCCCGGGCGGTCGGCGGCGGGAAGTCTGCCGAAGAAGTGAAGAACCACTACGATATTCTTATAGAGGATCTCCGGCGAATAGAATCCGGCCACGTCCCCATCCCCAACTACACCATCCCCACTGCTCAAGAAGAACAAAGGTAAACAAACTCCGAAAACGACGTCGTATACATAGCTCGCTTATACGGTTATACCTTCCGCTTGTGCAGTAGTACTTTTGACGATTAATCATCCTCACCATTACAACTAATCCTGCCTGCAGGCTTTTCAAGTATCTCTACCAGTAGTCAAACATCTGCACTTCAGATTATATATATATATATATAGATATTATGGATGTCGTCTGCCTGGCTACATATATATCAGATTAATCTCAAGTTTTCACCATTTGCAATTAGTTCGTTTCACTTCGAAAAAACCCTACAAAAATCTGATGAAGGATTACGGCAATTTGACGTCATTTTATCAACACGGCGGTTTCATTATCCAATCTTCTCCCTAAACAGTTTGACAGAGAAAATGCTCTAATTGGGCTTTCTGTGTGGGCCCATTCAAAAGCTAGCCCAATTTATTCAAACTATAATCCCACCTACCAGCCGACAAAAGTCTAACGTGACGATTTTTATTTTTTTTTTATATTTTTTTATATTTTTGCTTTAAGATCATATTAGAGTTTGTTTCTTAAACCCAAACTCCAAATTTTTACTATTTTTGTTTTTCCAAAAAATGTATTTTTTCTTTAACAAAATATTTTATCATAAATTCTTTTAATATTAAATTCAAACCAAATTTTTTCAAATTACATAAAAAAAGAAAGATAAATAATCATCTTATTTAAAAATTTAAACATATAAAATTACATACTTCTTTTGTTTCTTTCAAATTTATATTAATTGATGTATAATCTATTTATAATAAATGATTTTATTTAATTATAATTTTATTATTCAATATTTTAATAAATAATTATTATTTATTTTTATTTATTTCATCATATTTTTATCATTTATTTAATAAATCTTATTTCGTTATAGTATTTCAATTTTTTTTTTTTTGTTGGCCATCAAATTAAAGCCCTATTTTTCTAACCCAAACCCTCATTTAAAATGGGACTAAGGAATTTTTATTTTATTAATTTTATCCAAAATTAAAACATCAATTTTCAAGCTGTCTTGGTTTATAAAATCTAATAGGTTTTTGTTTATTATTATGATTTTGTTCTTCTTAAATAAAAAGAATTATTTATATGAACAATGAAAAGGTAAAACAAACACATCCAACTGCTTTCAATTTAGGTATTGGAAAGAAATTATAAGGTCCTTTTTCTAAAAAAGTAAAATAAAATAAAATAATAATAAAAAGGTAAAATTGAAATACTATTAAATGATACGTTGCCTCCCGTTGATAATGTTAATTTTGTCGGATTTGCAGGGGTCGGTGCATATAGACGATTCTTTTATTTACACACTAGCAATTTTAAATTTCTTAATAGACCTTTTTCCGTACGATTTCCTGTCCCATTAATCATAATAAATGAAACGACTCTTGATTTTATATAGGTAAATATTCTTTTAATTTTACTATCTTCAGTTTTGCTTCCAACATAAATGATTAAAAATAGATTAAATATATACATAATTTAAAATTTAGATGAACAAGCAATTGAAAAACAAACGAACAAACAAAAACATTAATTATATATACATAGGGTTTCACTGGTGTGATTGTCTGGGTTTTGGATTTTGAGTTGATTTGAATGGTAAAAATTTTGAATTTGAATAGTTGTATGATGTGATATATATAAGTGTTGATATGATGTTTTGAATGTAAAATTGATTTTCAGTATAATATAAAAAATAAAAAATATGTGTTTGATTTGATGTTTTTGAACAAGAAATGAGATAACAGTGTATTTAAAATTCAATCCCCAAACAAACACACCCTAACTGTGTTTAATTTTATTTTGTATTTCTAATTTTATATGAACAAACTAGTGTTTAATATTTCTTCCATCTTAATTTAAAGTATTTTTTTTTATTATTTTGTCATTCTTAATCTAGTATTTTTTTATTATTATTATAAGTAATTCTACATTAATACTAAAAATTATTAACTTTTACTTAATTACAAATATACCATTACACATATAATTATTGAACAAAAATATCAAAATATTTTATATATTTTTATTAACCAATAAAATAATTTTTTAATCTACTATCAAAACTCGAAGGACTCATTTGCAATAGGATAATACTTTTAATAAAAGTTTGAAATTGAATGCGACTGTATTAGGGAAAAAAATGATATAGATTAAAGTGAACACACATTATGGATGATATTTAAACACAATGAATTTGTTTATATATATTACCTAATTTTCAATAATAATAAAAAAAATTGTACTCATATTTTTCAACAAAATAACTATTTTTTTAATAAATAAAAAAATTAATTCACCCAAACAACATATTATGGGTGTGTTTGTTTCATATTTTTAGTTTGAGATATTTCTTATATATGGCATGATAAATTATGTCAGTAATATAAAAAATAATTTTTTTTTATTAAATCTTGATATTTTGTAAAATTAAAATATATTATATATATTGAGAATTGTTTTGGGTAAAAAATTGATTAGACAAACAACCCCTAAATATTTTTGCAAATTATAATAATAATTAATTACAAAAACACCATTATTAATAAAAGATTAATGTATTTGTTTAGTATTTATAATTTTAAGTATTGCGTTTTGAAGTATAAAAATTGTGAAAATATTATAGAGAATATTATTTTGTGTTTTTTTTTACTTTTATGCTTACGTAATGTATTGTATATCATATTCTTTCGGTCAACTCATAAATTATACATAATTCTAGTTTGAATGGTTCAATTACAAAATAACTATTTCAAAAGATTTTTACTTATTTTTTCACAAATATCTCTATTTCACTCTCACGTCATTATTTTTACCCCAAAAATCATTAAAATACTACTCCATCCGTCTCATAACAAACTATCTATTTTTTCATTTTAGTCCATCCCATAATAAAGTATCTATTTTTTTTTTTGTAGTTGTACTGTCTACCTAACGATACAAATACCTTACAACTTACAATATATTACATAGATATTATTACCTTTGTATTACACAATACTAATAAGGTTATTTTAGTCATTTCTAATTTATTCATACTACATCTCAATATAATACTAATATTTCTAAAACTCCGTGCAAAAAGCAAATGAATACACAGTTATGGGACGGATGAGTATTATTTATTAAATTTTGCACAAAAAATAAATATATACTTTTAAATTGGATGAAATAATATATTATATTTTTAAGTAACATCTTTAGAGAATCTTGCACATTAAAACATTCCCATCTATTATCACCTCTTCAACATTTCACATTTTGCTATACCTCTTGCTTTATCAATATGGTATCTTAACTAAAATATTATACAAAATTATATATATATATATATTATATACTAGTATTTTAAATAAAAACATGCCTAAGATGTAATATTATTTTTAAAAAATAATGAATAATATAAAGATATAATTAAAACCCAAAATTATAAATAAGACCAAAATTTTGCCCAACTAAAAACATAATAATAAAGAAGAATCAGCAAACAATATATATATATATATATATATATTATAGCATGAGAATTTAGATCCCCTCACACAGTGAAGTACATAAATTAAATGAAATGTTGATGAAAGGCTGAATTAATTAAATAATTTAGTTCCTCCTAGGATTGCAGCTTCTTCACATTACTCATCCTGCAAATACATAAATAAATAAATTAATTAATTAATACTTCAACATTACTAAATAACTCGAAGAAACACCTTCAATAATCTTTCAATAATATACTCACCACTCCATCACTAGTTTGAATATATGCTTATTAAACATATGAATAGAGATTTCAATAACAATAGATAATAATTACTATATTTTGTATTTTATAATAAAAAAAATACAAATTTAATAATATGATCTTTTACATAAAAAAAATAAAATAATAATAATAATAATAAATAATAAGAGCATTTTTTATGACCACTCAAACTAAAAATGAATTGTATATTTAAACGATAGAAAAAAGTATAAAAACATATATACCTTTATAAATCGGTGGTGTTTATCGGCGGCGGCGGCGGTGGCGGTGGTATAATATGGGAAGGGGACATTTCCGGTCTCGATGTATTTGATATCCTGGAGGAGGATTTCGTAGTGGTTTTTGACTTCTTCCTCGGTGCGGCCGGTCCCGACAGATCGGGCGACATTGGCCCACCGGTCCGGCGTGTCCTTGTCGTACACAGCCAGAGCCTTCTCGAACCTTTTGTTTTCCTCCGCACTCCAACCTGAACCCCCCGCCGCCATCAATTATTTTCAATTGATCAATTTTTTAAATATATATATATATATATATTAGCGTTTTTTTTTTTTTTTTGATCGGATTTATTTTAATTCTATTATTTATACTGCATATGGTGAGAGATTGTGGGGGAACAAGGTGCAAGCTTTTATAATAACCGACTCCGTGGGGTGGGGTGGGGTGCGGTTGGGTTGGATTATACCAGTTGTCCTAGCTATATATCGGAGAGATAATTTCCTTTTAAAGTTAGAAATGTTTTAGAAATAATAAAATATATATTTTTTTTAAATATATTTCGTATATTCCCCAAATTTATTTTCACTTTCTTTTTTTAATTATCCCATTAATAATTTTGGCAAAGTCAACAAATTAATAATTAATTATTACCGTTCATTCAATACTTATTTACAACAAATACCATTAATTTTATTATATTATTTCTTCGTCTATTTTTATTTTTAATTAAATTTTCCAATATATCTCCAACTACTTATCATTTTTTCAATTAAAAATTAATTTTTCTTAAACTTGATGCTGAATTAAAATAAACTATTTTTAGTAGACAGATGGAGTCTTACAGTGATTTTTTATTTTTTTTTTTATTTTTTTCCTTAAACTATGGAGTTTGGACAATGCCAAAGCTTTTAAAAGTTGTTATAAATAATGAATAATAAGATTGGTCAAATAAAAAGCCTAAATAAAATCTTTTAAACCAAATCCAAATAAACAGTCATTTCCTATAACATTTATATATAGTTATCATTACTACTATTAATAATAATAAAAAAACTACAGTTCCATAGAGGATAACTTGGTTACATGAGTTGAACTGATTATAAGGTCATGATTTTAAAATAAAAAATATAAAACACTATACACTATAAACACTAAAAAATATACTTCCTCCGTTCCAATATAATAGTCCTATTTACTATTTTTGTTCATCCCAAAACAATAGTCTCATATTCATAAATAACCATATCACTATAAAATTATCCTTACTTTTTCATTATTATTATACAATTGCCACTACTTTTTACACTAATACACTCACAAGGACAAAAAAAGTTTTATCCGTACTTCTTACCCACTACCAATATAATATCAATATTTTTTAAATTCCTTATTAAATCCAACTCAAACTATAATTTTGGAACCAAAAGAGTATATTAAACACGGCCTAAATGGCAACAAATAATTAAATGCATACGAGCTAGCTAGTACTAGTTGTGCAT